AACACAACCACAGAGTCGTGCTGGTTTGAGCGTGTCGCTGCTCGCTGGAGTTATATCGGCTCTGTCTGGACGTTAGTTGGAAAACTTTCTCTTTCAGTCGTGAACACATTACTGAGCAGCTAGAATCTCCGTTTCTGGGCTTCAACGTCAGAAAACAGCTGAGTGAACTCGGCGCTGAGTGGGAGGAGTGTAGTTTGTCCGAGACAGCGGAGCTGCAGACACCCAACTACCCCTGACCTGCCTCGGGCTGGAAAAAACACAAAGGAGGGGACACGTCGCCTCCGCGCTGACACCGCAAAGCATCATGGGAGTTGATGTCTTTGCGGTAAAATCGGCCAGCGGGCCAGTTTTAATATATTTTTGGTATTTATCTCGCAGTCCACATAAAAATGCTCCGCTGGCTGCATCTGGCCCGCGGGCCTTGACGCTGACATATGTACCTTAGAAGAATATAACAAGTAGCAGAACCCTGAGATAAAAATGAACATTTTAGCTCACATATATGGATTTAAAACCCATTTCCAGCGCTAATTAAGGAGTTATCTTTTGACCGTTGATGTATGCATGACCACCCCTGTAGATCGCCTTCAGCCCCGCCTTGCGTGCTTGCTCCACCTTTGGCCATACGGCCATACGTGCCTCTCTCTCTTCCTTGGTGAGATCCTCGGCGAATTTGATGTTCAGCTCCCTGCAGATCGGGTGGCCCTTGGTGGCACGCCAGAGTTCCTCCTTGTAGGTTCTCAGCGAGAATTGTAGGATGATCTGTCGGGGACGGCCGTTGAGGGGGTACCGAGGCGGTGGACGGTGTCCAGGATCAGTTCCACCTTTTCAGCCCAGTGTGGCAGAATCTTTATTAAAACGCCAGCTACCTTTTTTCGCGTGTCTTCATCCTTTCTTCTTTAAGATCGTTGAGTCGCAGATTCCAACGTCACTTGTAAGACTCTTGGTCTTCCATCATTTTTTCAACACGGAGCAATTTGGCTGTCAGATCTAGATTTGTATCCTTTAACAATTTAATCTCTTCAGTCATTCCTTTGTTCTTTTCTTTGAGATCTTTTATTTCACCGCTGTTGAAGTCAACCGCTTTCACAATGCTGGCAATGGTGAGGGTGTTTTGTTTTAAATCGCCTCGGAGCTCTTCAATTGAGTTTTTGAGACCTTCAACTGCAGCCAAAATGACACTTGCTTCAGCGCTGATAGCAGCCTCTTCATGTCCTCTTTGTTTTTTTAAGGGCAGTGCAGCTTTACCTGGTGACGTTAAGAGATTCTTGGTCCCCCTCAAGTTGGTCTCCATAGCCTCTTGGCTCGCGTAGTCGTGGGGTAGCAAGGCTTTGATAGCTTTACCGTTAGCTTTGCTGTTAGCCATTCTTCAGCATGCAACCGGAGTAACTTCCAGAGTGTTCCAGTGACGGTCAAAGGCGCGTTTGAGAGTAGTGCTTGCTTAGGAAATAGGTATTAGGTAGTTTTGTGAGTTACATAGAGCTATATCTGCTATAAATTCAGGGTTAGCTACTCAGAGCACGCTACTCCTCGGCTGCCCGCTCCACCATCTTCGACCTAGAAAATAGCTCTTTGAGCCCCGTTCACTTGCATCCATTTTTTCATTCTTCCGGTGAACCGTGAGCCAACTGGAAAGGGAGGAGACTAGGCTCCCTACACGACACACTGCCACTAATGCTAGGTTATTATATAGTTTAGGCATCATTTTATGTCGAATTTCTAATAACTAGATAATTCCTGAAGATATTTTAAAAGCAACTTGCCATCCGGATCTATGGGTGGCTTTCTGTTAAGGGCCATTCAGTCCCTTTACCAGAGGAGCGTGAGTTTGGTCCACATAGCCGGTAGTAAGTCGGACCTGTTCCCGGTGAGGGTTGGACTCCGCCAGGGCTGCCCTTTGTCACCGGTTCTGTTCGTTACCTTTATGGACAGAACCTCTAGGCGCAGCCGTGGTGTGGAGTGTGTCGAGTTTGGTGGCAAGAGAATCTCGTCTCTGCTTTTTGTGGATGATGTGGTCCTCCTAGCTTCATCCAGCTCTGACCTTCAGCTCTTGCTGGGTAGGTTCGCGGCTGGGATGAGGATCAGCACCTCCAAATCTGAGACCATGGTTCTCGACCGGAAAAGGGTGGCTTGCCAACTCCGGGTCGGGGAGAGGTCCTACCTCAAGTGGAGGAGTTTAAGTATCTGATCATACTGTATATATGTACACACACACACACACATATACTGTAAATCCTCTAATAGAGGCCCGGGCCTGTATTTGACTCAAGCTCATCAAGCTCCAGGCCTTTATTGGAAGGAGGACCAGCATTAGAGGCAGGCCTCAATTTCTATTTGAGCAAAATGAACTAATGGTTCGCTGGAGTTTTTGACAATTAAAATTGCGCCCACATTTTCAAAGTTAAACACATTTCTTTTAACAACGATAGTTCCTGCTTCAGCCCTCTCCCCCCTCCCACTGCTTCAGCCCTCTCCCCCCTCCCCCTGCTTCAGCCCTCTCCCCCCTCCCCTGCGCAGCGGCCGCAAACTCACTGATGCGCCTGCAGCCTCTCGGAGTTCCTGCTGCTCTAAACATTAAAATAATTATTTCATTTTCTGTTCCTCACTTCTGATTACCTTCAATGGTGTCTGTTTGTTGCAACCAGCAGGTACAAAAACTAACTTGTTTTTATTTGACTATTTTTCTGTCCTGCCTGTTTATTATCTTCCTGCATCTCCTCTCAATCCTAAAGAAAAACTGCTACCTGGGTTCATATATATTCAACTCATGAGTTACCTTTGAACTGCAGTTCTAAAAGATCTACCGACCGCTAAAACAGCAGAGTGCTCGCCGGCCACATCAGTTAGGTACGTCACCGAGGACAAAACAGGTGATGCGCCCTGATCCACAGCAGCGAAACGCATCAGGCACAAATAAAAGAATAAAAGACAGAAAACATTAAAGGAAATGAGCCGACATGAACGATCGCGTGTTAAATTAGTTTTTGAGGTGGCGACACCTGATGTGTTAATGTTACTGTGGCCGTGCTCAGGACGCAGATGTCTGGAGCGCGTCAACAATCAGAGCTTTGCATGAGCAAGCTGGTTAAGGTTAGGATGGGGGTGAGGGGAAGGTTAAATTGCAAGAGGGTAAACGTCACAATTTGGTTAAATGTCCGTTTCACGGCGGGTGTCAGTACCAACGCTCTGGCAGAGCGCGTTGCCTCCAGACGCTCAGGAGCTCGTCACCTGCTGACAGCAGGCTGCTGTCTTTTCCGCGGACTGCATCTTGCCGGTCATTATCACGTGACAGCGACTAGTCGACGACAGGCATAACAAGTCACTATAGAGCGGTGAAGTTGACTAGTGACTAGTTCATACAACCCCTGCTACTGCTCCCCAGAGTGTTCTGCAGCATAATCAGCACGTTCTCTTTGAACTTGATATCAAATTTTCGCCTCCTCTTTGTCTCCGCACGGTTAAAGTTACCCTCGCGGTCTATCACTGGCAAATCAAAAGTGAGACGATGACACAACCGCCCCCGTACTTGCTTGTTACCACATTCCACCCGGCCACAATAAAAAACCGGCCATTATTCACCTCCACCGACTCCGACACCGGCCAATATATGATAACCGGCCGTTAATTGAATACAGGCTAATATTAGAGGATTTACGGTATATAAATACATATATGTTTGTATGTATGTATGTGTGTATATATGTACACACACACATACACACATATATATGTATGTATGTGTGTATATATGTACACACACACATACACACATACATATGTATATGTATGTATGTGTGTATATATGTACACACACACATACACACATACATATGTTTATGTATGTGTGTATGTATGTGTGTATATATGTACACACACACATACACACATACATACATATACATATGTATGTGTGTATGTGTGTGTGTACATATATACACACATACATACATATACATATGTATGTGTGTATGTGTGTGTGTACATATATACACACATACATATATATATATACATATACATATATATATGTATGTGTGTATATATGTACACACACACATATATGTGTGTATATGTGTATATATGACACACACACACACACACACACACTCATATATATACATAAATATATGTATGTGTGTGTGTATATATGTACACACACACATATATGTATGTATATGTGTATATATGACACACACACACACACACACACACACACACACACACACACACACACACACACACACACACACACACACACACACACACACACTAACATTTATGCTTCTGAAATCAGCAAATTTTGCATATCTGAAAATTATGCAAGCTGAATTTTTTATGTATTGTTTTTTTCTCTAAAGTGTCGTTTGCAATAAGTTATACACACCCTACACATTTATGAGTCTGAAATGATTACCATCACTGTCACATGACTAAACTATTACACATCATCACCCCCTCACCCTCTGAGACGGATAAACAAAAACAGAAACTAGATTGAAAAAATATTGGTTGTTAATATCGGCCCAGTTTATCAGACAGATATCGATATATGTTTAAAAATGACTGATACTGATACTGTCATTTATGGCAATTTATTGTGCACCCCGAATCTGGAATGTTAATTTCTACTAGGAATAATATAGTTCTAGATATCCGTAATACAAATCCAGTCTGCTTAATAAATGTTAAAACGGACTGACATACTTGTTGTGATTCACGGTTTGCAGTGTAAAATGTAAAGTTTGATTACCAAATTGATGACAACACTGGAGCCATGCCAACAATTGATGTGCCAAAACGGAGCCCTGGCTTTGTTAGGGCAATGTACCAAAGTTTCACAGGCAGCTGCATGCAGTTCTTGACATGGTGCCTGCAACGCAAAGTCCTAGACTTTGAAAATTGTTGGTTTTATCTTCATTATACAAACAAAATTAGGCATTTCCGCTCAAATGGTTTTATTTTGAAGGACAGCGGAAGTAAAATGTGTTCCTTCCCGTAATTTGACCGTCGTTGAGCATTGCCCCATTTCCAGTCCGCTGCTACGGTTCCTCCCTCTTCAGGAGCCTGCTTGCCTGTCTCGATGTCGATCCTCACCGCTATTCTGCCGCAACAGGTAAATAATTATGACGCTATTAATAATAAAACAAATATACTAACACTCACGAATTTAACAGGAACTCGATTTTGACTCGAGGCGTAGGTTTGAATTTTGACCGGTTCTTTGAAGGCAAGTGGGATGTCCCGCTTTATTAAATCAAACCCGCAGCCCAACAATCAGACGATGCTGCGTTAAAACCAGGTTCGGATTTGCTGCACTGGAGCTTCCGACCTGGAAATATGTGTATTTTATTTATTTCATCCATTTCTCTAAAGCTTGAGTGTTAGCCATTTGTTTGATTTCTCTATCAGAAGCCACACAGATGTCTGGAAAATGGCAAATATATCCCAGAAATGTGTCCTGATTCAGTTTATGGAGACCAATTTTAACCAAAAGGTGAGTTTATTTGAAGGAAATAGCTCATGGCTGTTTAATTCTTCTTGAGGGTTTGCTGTAAATACATTTTGATGAATTTTGAAGCTGAGCAACTCAAAACAACCACAGATCAAACTCAGACATCACTGTTTAAAACAAAAACCACTCTAGAGGTCATTGATTCTGGTTCCTGGGGACATTCCACCATTAAAAGAACATGTGGCACACTGACCATTTAAAGGAAATCACCAGAATCGTTCTATATACAGAGCTTATTTAGACCCATAAGAACACAAGGCAAGCCTGGCCTTTTATATAAACCATGGCTGGTGTATTGGTCCCCTCACTGCTGCCAGCTTCTCTGCACCTGACCTGAACAGGTGTTATCAGATCTTTACATACTAGCTCAACACACATTCCTCCTGCATTTGACAACTGGAACTAGCTGTTTTTGATGCCCCGCGTTTATTCACTGCTCTGTAGACCGATTCATTACTCAAATTCTGCATATGTGTGTGTGTGTGTGTGTGTGTGTGGGGGGGGGGTCTTCTGCTTCTCTCGGGGAAACAGAAAGAGGAGGTTTTCTTTGCTGAAGTGGCAAAGTCCACACTTAAACTGCAGTTTCTATGACATCCAGTCCCATCCTAGTTGTATAAATCCACCTGTCAAGAAGAAGCGTTGCATAACCAGCAGCACATGTGCTCATGGTGGAGAAGGTGTCAGCGAAGTTTAGACTTCAGGGATCCTTTTTTATATGACAGTAGGAACCTGAATGAAGAAATGTGGTCCATGAAGGCACAAAAAGCTGCAGTGTGTGTGTGTGTGTGTGTGTGTGTGTGTGTGTGTGTGTGTGTGTGTGTGTGTGAGCTTTGCAGTGGGTAAGCTGACCCACATATGTATGAAAAAGATATGAATGACTCTTCCAGCGGAAGTGTCCTCAATGGTCTCACAACAGAGGGGAAGGTGTGTGTTTGTCATCATATCTTTGTTTCTCCTGTTCTTGTGAGTTGGCAAAACACACACACACACACACACACACACACACACACACACACACACACGCACACACACACACACACACACACACACACACACACACACACACACACACACACACACACACACACACACACACACACACACACACACACACAGTTGCATCTGTCTTTGCTAGGTTCTGCAAAGCTTCCTGGACTGTGTCAACCAGAACAGGGTCCCCTCTGTGTGAGGAGTGTGTGTTGGACACACTTACACACACAAGCTGATGCATTGATATGCCAACCAGTTACGTGTGCGCCACACACACACACACACCACACACACACACACACACACACACACACACACACACACACACACACACACACACACACACACACACACAGGTGTCAATCTGCATGCTGCTGAGAGTCAATGGTGCTTTGATTCGCTCGCTGCTTTAGGGTTAGGGGTCAGCAGAGTAAATCACTGGTTTGTTTGTGAACTGCTAATCAGGAATGTTAAATCCAAAATAAAATGCCTTCATACCTAAAGAGACAAGAATACTTCTGATCTCCCCCTAGACTGCTTAACCAATCAAAGTTTAGACACATTCATTTCCGGATCTTTATTTTTTCCTTAGTTGCAGCTAAGCCACTGTTGATGAAGAGGGTGTCGACTCATTCTGTCTATCCAGGATGTGTCCTGTTTGAACAGTAGTAGCTCTCTAATGTAGCCTGTCTCATACTTAAGCCTAAAGGGACTCAGGTGTTTGTGTTTAAGGGTGGATGAGTCTGTGCAACACCTTGATGCACACTGTTTGGATAAGGAAGCTAAAGGTGAATATAAACATTGTACACATATGATGTGTTAAGTAATAAAGTGTTGTCCAGATATTCTGTGAAGAAGGTAACCCAGTTTGCACACTTGGATTTGGTTTGGCAAGGATATTTACAGAAAAAGTGTCAACTGAGCCACTTTCAAAGGTTTTCTAGCTTGTTTGAGGTCAAAGGTCAGGTTTTATGTGTCAAACAATTACAGCAAGTCCAGTACCTGAAGCAGCAAATCAGTCCCAAACCATCACACTACCGCCACCATGTTTAACTGTTGGTATGATGTTCTTATTGTTGAATACGTTGAATTTCTTTCACAGTTTTCATTGGTTCACTCTATCCCTTGTTTTACCCATCTGTCCTGTCCTACAATGTTTCACCTTTTTTGTAATTTGAATTGCTTTTATTTTTTATTTATTCACTATATTTGTACTTCTACTGTACCATGTTCAGCGCTTTGGGCTTCCTGACAGGGTTGCGGAAGGCGCTTTATAAATAAAGCTTTGATTGATTGATTGATTGATTGATTGATTGATTGATTGATTGATTGAATTTTCTGTTAGATTTACTCCAGACATATTTGGAGACATTTTTCCTACGGTCTTTGAGATCGTCAAGATTTTCTTTTGAAAGATGTGATTTGTGCTTTTTACTTGGTCATCAGAGGTCTGGGCATTGGAATTCTCACCGGTGTCTTATTGTTGGACTATGACCTTTGACCTGCAGGGCTTTAGATGTTGTCCTGGTTTTTTTTTTTTGTTTTTTAATTTCTTTAAAAAGGGGCAAGATATGTTGCTTTTTAAAAAATCTTTTTGCCTACTTCCTCTTGTCAGACCGATTCTATTGATGCGGCGTCTTCATAGGATTGTGGTTAGTGGAACTAAAATTAGCTCTAAATAGCATGTTTAGTCAAAGTTAATTTGTGATTGAAAAGGGAAAGCCTTTTTCTCTTAAAGGTGTGGTTCACTCTTTTAATCGATACATCTGCAGTAGTCTATCAGAAATGGATGCCTTGTAAGTCGTACTCTGAGGAAAAAAATCTCTAGTGCGCCTGTTTCAGGAGTTAGAAGTGAGCTAAATCAAAGTTGAGCTTCTGATGACAGGATTTGGTGTAGGGCTGCATGATATTAAGTAGGGATGTCCCGATACAACTTTTTCACTTCCGATACGATACCAATATTGCAGCCTTCAGTATTGACCGATACCGATATCAATCCAATACGATATTAGCACAAATCATACGTACTTTTTACCTATTTCGTAGATCGATATTGAATTACTTCCGATATCGATATCGTAACGGGACATCCCTAATATTAGGAAAACCTGCGATGTTAAGGGGCCTTGGGTAGACCTTGGCACCTCTGCTGTCCCATCACAGGGGAAGGGGAAGTCCAGGAGTGGGAGGACCCAACCTTACCTAGATGTCCTGTGTCTTTTATAATCCGGAAGTTGTGCAAATGCAGGGATGGGCATAGATATTCTGCTGGGGTGGGGCTGGGTTGGTGCCCTCGGACTCCGTGAGGCTCTGTGATGCTGCTGCTTTGGGCCCTGGCAGGATGGGCTGGGGTCTCCATGCCCTGGGTGGCATTTTGGCAACAGAGGTGCCTATTGGGGCCAGTGGGGGAGCTGGCTCCCTGGAGGGCTTAAGTCCAACCAGCCATTCCTCCCCATCCCCACACATTTCTCTCCTCCTGCTCCCTCACATCATCACACAAACATGCATATAGGACCTTGGGGGGTGGACAAGTCAGGGGATGCGGGTATGGACCCCATTTCCGCATTCCTGTGGCAACCTGCCCCCCAATTTTATCTGCACCTTTAACACTTCCACCAACGACATTCCACGCAAACACACACTTAGGGCCTTGGGAGTGAGCACATCCAACGGCATTTGGCAGGGGGATTTCTCAGCCTCCTCCCGAGTGCCAGTACCCACTTCCAATTTTAAACTGCACTTAGACACTGAGGGCTGTGGGTGCAAGTGGGGTGGTGTGGTGGCATCAGCTGGCATAGGCCAGACGATGCCCGCACTGTCCGCTCACCACAGCCACGGAATACACCTCATCAACACTCACTAACACCATATTTGAGCAGGCGGAGGGAGACTAGGGGTCTTAGCACACCTCTGTTGTCGCTTGGCTTCCTGGGGCTGGAGGCTAGGAGGGAGATCTGGCCATCTGGTTGGGGTCTGGGGTGGTGGGATGCTGTGCTCAGCATTGGGCGGGAGAGCCTGCTCATCAGCACCCCAGCAGAAAGGGTCAAACTCTGGGAACCAGTGATGGTTGTACCCCATGTGCAGCAGTACCGGGACCAGAGTGAATAGGGTGTGTATGGGGAGCATGAGTGGGTGTCCAGCGTGCATTTTTGTAAGTCTTGGGTTGTATGTGCATGTGTGAGCATGAGGGAGGGAGCGTGTGACTGTGTTTGTGTATGACTGTATATGTCAGGTGGGTCCTTTGACTCCTCCCCTCTCCTGGAACTTCTTTTGATGATATAGATCTTCGTCTCCCCTCCCCCTGCCACACCTGGTGTGGAGTGTGGTGCCTTGGTCTGCCTGAGTGTTCGTGGCTCCCGGGTCAGGTAGTGTAAGATTTTTGGCGTCTGCCTGATCAGTCCCGGTGGCTGCCTGGTGGGGTCTGGGTTCCTGGGCTCTGCTGGGTCCCCAGCGGGGGTGGTCACCCCTGGGTCCCGGGTCATTGGGTCCCAGGCTCAGCCGGCTGGGGGGTGGGAGGCTGCGGGCGGGCCTGTGGGCTTGCCGCTGATATCTCCCAAGACTCTGCCGGCTGCAGGTTGTGGCCCCCCGAGGCGATCCTCTGCACCTCTCGA